ATATACTAATGTTTTAAGGTCTCTTATAATAAGAAACCAGGACTCTTGAAATCTTTTAGTATACCACAACACCTTTAGCAACATATCATTATAGATTTCTGTAGTTTCAATAAAGATAAATACGGATATAATAATATCTTAGTCATTATCGACAGATTCATCAAATAAACTATTTCTATTCCTTATACTAAGGAATATAATAAAAAAGAGTTTGTTAAACTATTTATATATCCCATTTATTACTACTATAGTCTTTCTGCCTTTATACTCTCAGATCGAGATATATAATTCATTAATAAGTTCTGAAAAAAGCTTTTCATTATACTTGATATTACCCTAATACATTCTTTTATAAACCACCCTCAAACCAACAATCAAACGGAGATATATAATTAATATCTATAACAATACTTATACCCTTATATTAGTTATTACTGTAAAAGAGTGAAGGTAGGTGTGAAATCATAGGAATAGTAGTAGTAGTAGTATTATTTTACATCAGGAGAGCAGCTTATGGCTGCCCTCAGAACCTCCCTAGGGATATGCAGATGTTCTAAGCTATGGTCTTACAATACATGAAATGAGAGTGCCTTAGAAAGAAAAGTGAAAGCCTTACAGCCATTCCCGGTAATCGTGTGTTACCTTCCAATTTGTACATTCTCTCCTCCGCCAATTGAGGTGGTCCTGCTGTCTTGTCTGGTGTAGGCGGGTGTGCCTTTGCTGTGGGCTTGCCGTTGCTTGCGTTTGGCAGATTGGTGGGTTGCTTTTGGTATAGTCGCTTGGATGTTTGTTATGCTCCGGGGAGTATTCTCAGATGTGTTTTCACACATCTTGTTGATATTCAATCAGGTTTTTCATACCTGTTGCTATTGTTGTTTCTCTGCATACACTCTGCAGAGGGAGTTTGGGGCTTTGTTTGTATCGTACATTGCGAGTCGGTCCTGTTAGTGGGTGTGGCTTGTCGCAGGTTTCTAGATTGTTTTGGGTGTAGAGTACGGACTTGTGATTCTCTACTTAGGGTATATATCTTCGTAGAATTTCGTGAGCTTTAGTAGCTTGGCAAAGTCTGCAGGGTTGCTTAAGACTTGTCGGAGGTATTCGATACCTTCCTTATTTGTTGATGGTAATTTGGGTGGCTTGTTTGGCCATTGTTCAAAGGTGTCTCTTGCCTTCCGGCAGTGCACCAGGTGAGCAGGGGTTTTGGGCCTTCCACATGAGCATTCTGTGTCTCCTGTGTATCCAAATTTCCTGTGATACCATCCGAAGTCTCCGTGTGAGGTTCGGATAGTTATCAGTTTGTATAGAACTACTCGTGGGAGTAGGAGCTTTGGGAGTGGTTTGACCTTGTAGACCGGGTCCCATTGTTTGTACCACAGTGAAAGGGCAGGTTTGCATGCTGTCCACCATTCTTGGCGGGCCTTTTCTTTGAGGATGCGTGCAATCGATCTCACCCCACTGTAGGTGGGTTGAGATGCTGGTCCGGTATCCCAACTGGGTTTCTTGGCGCCGAGGTCAGCGAGGTGGTTAGCCACCTCATTTCCTTCAATGCTTTCATGTCCCGGTGACCATTTGACGCGAATGTCATAGTCTTTCATGGTTTTGTGGCAATTGTTGAACGTCTATTGTAATGACATGGAGGTGTTGGCCCTCATGCCCCAGATGACTGAGGCACTGTCAATGCACATCCAGATTTTCTGGTTGGTGTACCTGGCGTCCTTGAGGGTGCGCTCCAGGCCTTTCCATGCTTCGATGGCTTCCGCGTCGAAGATGTGTGACTGGGTGTTGATGGAACCGGAGCCCGCCAGTATCTGGTTCTTGCCTAGGTATGTTACATACCCATAGCCCATGATGTGCTTTCCTTTCACATGGTTTTCCGATCCATCCGAGAAGATAGTGATGTCTGTGTCTGTCAGGTTTTCCTACCAGGTGTTGAAGGCCTTTGCGGCCGTTTTCTTGTCGATCCCTTCCGTTGGGTCTATTCGGTAGCTGGTTGTATACCGTGGTGGCTTGAGTGTAGGTTTTGGGATCGGGGGGACGAGGAGACCAAGTCGTTGGACTTTGGTCTTCGTTCTTTGTCTTGTGCCCGTATCTCGCCTTTTGATGATTATGGGGGGTTCGATTCTTTTCGTGAGTGGGTGGGTTGCGTCCACGCTTTGAAGGCGTAGGGCAAACCTCAGTTTGGCTTCCTCGAGGGCTGCCATGGCTGAGGGGAGACCTGTTTCACAATAGAGGGCGGTTACCGGTGTGGTTTTCCAGGCCGGTATAACTCCTCGTATTGCCACTGTGAGGACTTTTTCGATTTGTGTCACGTGCCAGCCAAGGCGGGCACTGACCTTTGTCTGTCCTGTTTTTAATCTTCGTGCGGCTTTGAACCTGCCGCCGTACCAGGCCTCAGTCCCGTATAGGAGTGAGGGTAATACACATGTCGTTACTGCCTTGCGCATGGCGTGTGCTGGGGGCCTTGCATAACTTTGGCCAGGTCTCGGATATGCTTTGTCACTGCCCTGGCTTTACCTGCACGTTCGATGACGTGCCTACGAAAGTTTAGCTTTCTGTCGAACCACACTCCCAGCCATCTTAGTGCTGGACGGGTGTTTGTTTCTGTGGCCACTATCGGGTGGATCGTGAGTTCTTCATTGACCCTGATAGCAGGTGCTGCGTTGCCATTGTCCATGGAGATGTGGATCATTTCCAGTTTCTTTGGGGCGAAGGTGATGCGATTGTTCGATTCTTACTGTATGATGTCTTGTACATCTTTAGTGAGGCGTCTAGTATTTTCCTCCAGGGTTTTGGATGCTCTGTATAAGCATATGTCATCTGCGTACCCGAACCTGAGGGAGGTGTCTTGTGAGAGTAGCTCCGCCAGGTACAGCATGTACAGGACTGGTGATAAGGGGGAGCCCTGGGGGGTTCTACAGGCTATTATGTGTTCTCTGGTTGTGGCTTGCTCCAGCTGTACTCTGACTTTCCTTTCCGTCAGGAAGGAGTCAATTAGTAGGAGAAGGTCCTTGGGCCAGCCTTGTTTTGTTATCTTAGTGAGAAGCCGTCTTTTGAGCAGGGTGTCGAAGGCGCCTTGCACGTCCATGGTGACCATGGTTACTTTCTTGCCGGCCCCCAGTGCCGTCTCCACATCGTGTGTGAAAGATGCTACCAGGTCCATCGCGGACCGCTTAGGTAAGGCTTTGCTATGTTGAGGGTTGATGATGCCATGCCTTAGGGCTGTCCAGCCTAGTTGTTTGGTTACTATTCTTTCCAGTCCCTTGCCTATGCAGGAGAGTAGAGCAATGGGTCTCCATGACCTTGCGGATGTCATGTCCTTTTTCCCGATTTTGGGTAGCATGGCCACTTCAGCTAGCTTCCAGGTTTTCGGGAAATGGCTGTGTTTGAGGCATTTCTGGTAGAGCTGTCTTAGCGGGTCCTTGAGGTAGTCTTAGTAGGTCTTGAGGATCCTGACCGTGACTTGGTCAGTTCCTGGGGATGTGCTGGATACTCCAATGACGCTTGCTTCGACTTCTTCCAGTGTAAGCCGGGAGTTCCAGGGTAAGTGCCCGTTTCCTTCCCACTAGTCTCCCAGTGGGTTATATTCCAGGTTATCTTCTGCGCTGAAGCGGTTCAGGATTTCGGTCCTGAGTGCTTCGGCCTTTTCCATCGAGTCTTCTATCACTACTTCATTTGAGGTGATTGGGGGACTTTTGAGGTTCGGGGCTAGCTTGTGCCAGCCTACTATCTTGTATAGGTCTTTGTCACTGGAGATGTCGTCTATGACATGCCTCCAGTAGTTGCGTTTGGCTGCTCTGACCGTTGTTTTAAAATCCTTCGTTGTTGTGGTAGGGGGGTTCCCTGGTATAGCTTGTCTGCTCAGGTGTTTGGTATAGGTCCTTTTGCATTCCGTTGTCCACCAGGGTGCTGCCTTGCCTTTTCCTTTGTCCGTAGTTCTTACTGCAGTTATTGCTTGCTTGATGACTTGTGTGATTTGGTCTGCAAAGTCATCTATTTTTCCTGGTGTGTCCAGGGTGTCGTTTGTGGGCAGGTATGCCACTCCGTTCGCTACCAGTCCTGCTAGTCGTGGTAGTTCCGTTTCCGGGACGCAGATGTTGTGTTGGTTTAGAGGCTTGATTCCTCTGCCAGGTATTGTTGTTATCAGGGTGTGATGGTCCGATTCGTTATGTAGGTCGTGCCGGACCCTGGTTTCTGTAAAGGGGATGTTGGAGAATGTGAGGTCAAGCACGTTTCCTCCTGTGTGGGTAGGTGCTCCTCTTTCTCCAATGAATTCTAGTTCAGCCAGGTCTGCCCATGCTGCTAGTTCGTTTCCTCCGCGTTGGTTTTCCGTTCCAGGCTGCCATGTTTCATGTATAGCGTTGAAGTCGCCTCCAATGAGGCATCCTGGGGGTGGTTGTAGTTCAATGACGTATGTTAGCACCTGTTCTGTTCGTGGTTGTCTGTACACGTTCAGTATAGGGTGCCCATTCACGTCTATCCAGAGTATATCACGGCTTTTGATTGGCCGTCTCTGTTGGGTTCGCAGTTTCGCTCCTTTCCTGACATACGTCAGTACTCGGGGTCTTTCTGCCTCTCTTTGTTCGGGGGATGTTCCTGTCCATGAGTCTACTGGCGCGTATAAGGTCCATCCGGGGTGTGTTTTGGTTTTTGTGAGTGGGAACGTGGATGGTTCCTGTACGCACAAGACATCTGTTTTGTCTTCAAATGCCATTTGTAATATGGTGTCGTGGGCCTCTGGTATTCTGCCCACGTTCGCCCAGCAGACCGTTAAGTCCCGTATCCTGGGCTGTTGATGACTGCGCACGCCATCTTGACGCGTAGAGCGTCTACTCATGTGCGCTGGGTTGGGGGTCCTCCCCCATTTCTATGTCTTGCTGTGTGCTAGCGAGAGCCTCCTCGTTGAGCCTTGTTTTCAGCGAGGGTCTTCGTCTTGACCGGCTTGATGCCGCCGTGCTTCTCTTGAGTAGTCCTGCCACTCGGTCCGGTTCCGTTTGAGCTGTTGTGGCTACTGCCGAGTCTCTTTTGAGCTGTGCTGCCGTTGGGCCCTCTCTGCTTGTTTCATAGGCAGTGATTTGTGCTCCCGGGCGCTTTCTAAGCGTTGGGGTAGTTGTGAGTTCGGGTGTGACTGTGGCTAGGGTCGGGCCTTGTATTGGGCTCTCCTTATCCTTGTCCTTTTGGCTGGCGAGCATTGCTGCTTCCATTGCCAGTGCCGGTTTTCGTATTGCTTTAAGTTGTGGTTTGGTGGGTGCCGTGACCTTGCCATCCACTACTTTTGGTGCCGCCGGGCAGTTCGGGTGTCCTGCTGCGAATGGTCCGAAGCAGTTAGCGCATCGCGCTTTTGCTGTGCAGTTAGGGCCTTGTGGGCCTTCATGCGTATCTTTCCGGGCTCCGCAATTTGCACAGCGGGTGAGCCTGGTGCATCTTGTTGGGTTGCACCAGCCCTGGCAACCGGTGTCGTGTCGAGTGATGGTGGGTTTTGCCTTGATCTCTCTTGCCAGTTCGCTGGCGTTGAAGAGCCTGAAACCACGGACTGGTTCAAGGAAGGACACCACCCACGTGATTGTGCCGTTGTGGGGGTTGGCTCCGTGGCGGGAGGGTCTACAGCTGACAGGGGTTTGCCCCGTCTGCGCCTGGACTTCCGCTTCCACGTGACTAGCCGTATCGGCTGGGAGTCCATCCAGTGTGCGTATTGACGCTGGGACTCCTGGTACTGCGTAATTGTACCATGTGACCGATTGGTGCACTTGCGTGCCTCGGCTAATTCGTAGGATGATCTCCTTGTTCTCCTGTGTGAGGAGTAGTTCTTGGGTAGCTGGGTTTTTTGGTGTTATTGCCCACCCTGTCTTGGTTGCGGATATAGTGGGTACATCTGCCAATGTTAGACCTGAGATTGCCCCGACCAGAGCGCTTCTTAGCGCATACGGAGCTGGCCTGCTGATCCGAGCTGCAGGGCTGATGGCTATTAGTAGCCTGTGGTCCGTGCTTCGGGCGGTTCGTGTCGCCCGTTGTTTGGCGCGCGCGCTGTCGTGTGGGGCCTTTGGTGGGGCCTCTTGGTGTGTGAGTGGGTCCTCTCGGCCCGCCCCGTTCTGACTTGTTTTGGGGGTCTTGAGGATCCCCGCGTAAGTTTTGGTGGTGGTTTGTGTTTTCAGAGAAGCTGAGCTTCTCGTCGCCGGTGGTGTATACGATGCGGTCGACGCTCGGTCAGACCCATCGTTGATAGAGAGTGTGAGGATCTCAACGACTCTAGTGCTCAGTTTCCTGGCAGCCGTTCTTTCGTCCCCCGCGGCGAAGAAGTTGACGTATCTGTCAATTGCTTCAACCAGGCCAGTCATGACCTTTCGCTGAATCCTTTCAGCGTGTTCATGCTCAGCGAGTTTGGCCTTGAAGGCTTACATCGCTGGGCTGGTATTGTTGGTGTTCGCTTTGCTTCCCAGTTGAAGGACTGGTGGTACCTCGTTTGTAAAGGTACGCTGCCTTCTTTTAGAGCGATTTTGTAAGTTGGATGGTGTTTCTGGGTCCCGCGTTTTGGTGAAATCCGCGTTTTCCAGGTCCACGACCTCGGGTGGCGCCGTAAGGGACGCCATGTTGACTTGTAGAAAGCCTTGTGTGCTTGGTAATGTTTTTGTACTTCTTATAGTTAGATTCAGACCGAAATACAACTTCTGGCGACCAGAAGTTTTTCTTCGGAATATGTTGTTTGGGTGTGAAATCATAGGAATGCCTTCGGCATAACCACATATCGTACAACAATCATCTAATCGTAGCGTCATTGAAAGATAGTCATGGTCAAAAGGGGGATAAAGTAACTATTCGTCTAAACACTGAGGGTAGGTATAACTTTGAAGGGGTAAAACATGACGACTGATCTAAACTACTGGAAGAGGGGGTATAAGTACCCTCTCTAGACTATCACGTGACTCTAATACTATTGACTGGTTTCCTCACAATATGTATCCAGTGTTTCTTGTATAATAGATAAAAGGTATCGGTTCTTGATTATTATATTATTTAATTCCCAATAATCTTAACAAATACAAATACTTCTATCTGGTTTAGCTGTTAGCAAAAGTGGTGTAATACTCCGGGGTCTGGATTTATATATAAAGCTTTTAAAAAGGTTTTTATTAATCTATTTTCTAATTATTTGAAATTCAAAAGGAAATAAAGGATGGTTTTTGAAATATAGAGATTCTTTTCTAGGCATTGGCTTGATTTTGTGATTCTATGTCTTTCAAGATGATAATATATTAATATAGTATAATAAAAACTCTGATAATAGATCTCTCAGTTATGGAGGTAATCTTTTGTAGATTTTATTATTATTAAATTCAGGCTTTCTGGTAAGGAACTTTGTAATATTCATTTTTGTAATCTTTTGTAAATATATAGGTTTATAATATTCAATTATAAAATTATAGAGGTGAGGTGGGATCTTGTTTAATACATTAGTTATTTTCCTTTTCCCAAAAAGTATATCTTTATAATCTAGTTTCGTTAAGTTTAGTAATATTTTAATAAATTGTAGGTGATCTATTTCAGGAGTAGTTCGATTATCGAGGTGATCAATTTCGTTTTATGAGAGGTATATAGTATAGACTTTATCCTATTTACAAAATAATACAAAACTAATTGCTTACAATTATCGAATATTTCCTATATTGGGGTATTGTTCGAATTCTATAAAAGTCTTAGATACTAGAAATGATAAAAATGGCAATAGTTCATTTCAGGGTTTTATTCAATTTTTGCATTAGCCAGCGAGTTTCTGTATCAGGGTTAAACAAATAGATAGATAGTTTCTGATCATTTGTATTCGGGTTGAATTATCTTTTTTATATATATAATAATAATTTATTCTAGGAATCAATATTACTTCAATCTTGAGTTCAATTTCTGAGTTATTAAAGGATTTGTATTCTTTATCTAAATAATCTTTTATCATTGATTTATAATAATGATTTGTTTCAGAAGTTAATTTGATCCCGAATTCAATTTCTAAATCATTGGATGGCTTATATTCTTCATCCGGGTGGTCTTCTATTATCGGTTTATGTTATTGTTATATAATCTTTATAAGAATATAATTGAGTATTTTATTTAATATTTTGTTTTCTAGGAATATTCAAACAGATAATAGAGTAATAAAGACTTTAGCTAATGAAATTACAGGTTTTTGGAAAGAACTGTAAAGCAGGTTATCAGCACTTTGATATATAAATACTATAAATACTTGAACTAGATGAATAATATCCCACGGGCAGTATTTGACTATACAATATTGAGATGAAAATGAAAGAATCATATTTCTCCAATTGATATATGGATTATAGTATTGCAATTATAGCAATCCAAAAATTAAAAGATTATCTGAAAAGAGTTTTGTAACAAAGAAAGATTAAGTTTCATAATATTAATCTATTACTATATCCATAATAAAATATTCGGAAATGTAATCAGTTATATTACCATTAGCCAATCATAATTCGTATTTGTAAACTAGAATGCAAATTGGGATCTTATTATATAATACAAATGATCAATTAGCGAATGCTTTTTCAGAGCATTTATTATCA